GTTGGGGGGAAAGGGTTCCCCCACGCTGCCTACCCTTGCGCTGCAGCCTCCACAGGCACCCCAGGGCGCTGCTTCAGCGTAAAAAGGTTCAAGTGAATAAAACAGCTGCCTTGTACCTGGCTTAAACTGCTGCTTGTCCGTTTTGTTCCAGCTTGCCCGCGCATCACTAAGGAACCTGTTTTCCTCGGCACCTGGATAAGGGGAACCTCACGGGAGCGCAAGAGGGCAGCGGTGCAAGACGAGGCGGGAGAGGAGAGCCTGGGAGCAGCCGCGTCTGCGGCACGCGGGCACCCTGCGTCGCAGCTCCGGGACAGCGCAGAGTGCCGGGCTCCCGCCTGCGCTCCGAGGATGCATCAGGGTCACTCGAGATGACGGCTGCGAACCGCAGAGCGCAGCTGGGGGATGCTGATATACCCAGAGCCCTGACCGCGCAGCTTCTACATCGTCACTGTGGAAGGGAGCCCATTACTAACCCTGCTCTGTCGCATATAACTAGGGACTGATATTATGCAAGAGTGCAGTGCTAAAAGCAGCAACTGTATATATTTTTTAACAGCTCAGTAGTCCAATGGGTGAATATGCTGGGCCCAAAGCGTCAGCTTCAGTGGGGAAAGTGCTGCCTGCTGTCTGGAGAACTCAAATCGAAAGATCCTACAGCAACGTTACCTTCAGGTGCTTTTTTCTCTGCACCCAGAGAAGAGACAAACTACACTTACCCCAGTCACTGTCCTTGACATAACGCAGGATGGTGCTGCCTTATTTAGTACCCCAAAGCTGTATCTGGACAAGGTCCAGAAGTAGCAAAATGGCTGCAGCAGAGGAAGGAAAGCTAAATGTGTCTATTGCACTACAAAAACGCTGTCAAAACATCTCCAGTAACACCTAGGCATTAAAACTCCCTTCTTTACTCAGCAATGGGATGCTTTGCCTTCTTGCAGCTGGCATAAATTATTTCTCCCCCAAAGCTACTGTAAGGAGGGCAAACTGAATTATTCAGACTGTGCCTGTTGTCATACTAAACGTTTTAGAGTTCTCTCTTCTCTCTTGAAAAGCCTCCCTTCTTTTGTCTCCATCTCCCCCCGCGCTCCTCCAGCGCAATACTGATTCCAAGGGAGGAATTTAAGTGCATGAGCACCAGGCTGAGCCGAGGCTCACTTACCCTCAGAAAACAGTTGGGAATTTGGCCCTGGCCAACTCCGGAGCTGCTTTCAGAGCGCCTGGGCTAGGCTGCGCCTTCCTTTGGCTGTTAAGAGCTCCCACACAGAGCAGCTTGCGCTGCAAAATTTGCTATCCAGCTCCACCACCTTTCACCACAGCCACCCACAAAGGAAACGTGCTCTGGAAGCCGCTCGCTCTGCGGCCACGACTCACCCTGCCCGGCTGCTCTGGCTTCTCCCTCTCCAGGCACATCATCACCACGACTGACCTCCCTACAGTTTGTGTGCACCTTCCCCGGCGGCTGAGCCGTCCGGCCACGGCACGGGGCTGCTCCTCTTGCCTTCCCAGTTTTCCAAGGTGCTACATCACTGCTGCTGGCTTTTTCTAAATAAACCATGTGGCCTCAGCATCCCTGTGGAAACAGAGGCAGCCAGCGCCGGCGGAGCGAAGCACCCGTACCCGCGCGGGGCGTTAGGACCGCTCCAACAGCGGCTACACGGGAAGCTCTTCCAGCTGCCACCAGGGCTCCGAGGGACATGGCGAACAACGAGCTAAGATCACTACCAGCAAACGACCACGTTGAGGCTACACGGCGGCGGTGTAGCCCGCGCGCCGGGCCGGGAGGCAGGTACCGTCCCCCAGGGCCGCGGGCAGCGCCGGCCCGGCCACGGGCTCCCTAGTCGGCCGCCTGCTTGCTCCTGCGTCGCTCCCTGCGCCGCTCCTCGGCGTCCGGCGCGGCCGCGCTCTCCTCCGAGCCCGCTTCCGAGCCTGCCTCTGCTTCCAGAGGCAGCGAGGGAGGTTTCACAAGGGGGGCTGCTGCTCCAGCACCTGGGGGGACAAAACAGTTACAGCAACCCCGGGCCTACATGTCTTGTCCGTCTTTCTGCACAAAGACACACAGCCACCGCAGCTATTAATCCCTCAAATGTTTTCTAGCCCGGCATCAGCTTATCAACAGCACTCAATCCTCCTGGGAGTTTTCCAGCAGGGAGCTCAGCTGGGCTGCTGGGGGAAGTTGCTACATGCTCAGAATTTAGCCCGTGCTTCGGACAGGAAACTAATTCAATCAAGGTCTGCCCTCAAGCTGGAACCAAACCCACACTCTGATTTTCAGGTCACAGTTAGTTATCTCAGGGAGAGTGTCCAGGCAGCTAATGTGACTTACAGAACAAAACCAAAGCAAAACACTTCCCTCCGCAAGTTGTATCAACACTTAAGTTTTGGGCCTACCACTGATGTCATGAACCAGCTCCCTTCTCCCACGTGGGTGATAGAGTCCTTCAGGCACACCCCAAGCTCCTGCTGTATTTGACAGCCTGTCTTTCCTTGCGGAAGGTTTAATTCATGCGTGAGAAACAGAGCAGTTCCTTAAGGGTAGAGAACCTCTCTCCCACTTCAATCCATAGGAAACGAGACTAAAAGTGACAGAAAATCATCCCCAGGGTCATATCTCAGCACATTCCTCTTCGGAAGCTGAGCAGTGAGAAGAGGTCGGGCCGTAAACTGTGGCTCAGGAGAGGCTCCCACCCAGCTCCTAGCAAGCAGCAGCACATGCAGCTACTGCCCATCGCTGCTCTCTTGCAAAGGGAGACAGGAGGTCTGGTTTCTGAAACCACCTCCTTCCCCAGCAAGATATCCCTCCCCTGCTAATGCTGTTTTTCCCATCATGGCTCAGAGTGGAACAGAAACTTTCCCTGCTTCCTTCCCAAAGGCACGCTGTAACTCTGTGCAAAGGCAGAGATTTCTGACTGCTAAATACCCACCCCCTGCTTCTCTCCTGCGTTTCTGTGAAGTACCTGGGGCAAGTTGCAGGATTTTCCCACAGCCAGCAGCTGAGGACATGGCTTGACCCAGCGCCTGGTTGGAGCCCAGCGGCTGCTGCGAGCTGGAGGGCTTCCCCGACGGGGCAGCTCGCTGCTTGGCTTTGGACTCTCTGGCCGGCCGGGTCCAGACCAGGCTCTCCCCCACCTGCAGGGCAGCTCCCATCTTCTGGGCTACTTCCACCATCTGCGCAAGAAGGAAACAGAGGAGATGCCTGTGAAGAGCAACACGCGAGACAATAAAGTCATCAGGAACAATAGAGAGAGCGAGCAGTGTGGAGCTGGCTGATGCCTCGGTGCTTGAGGGAAATATATCTCCCTAATTCATTCCCTTAATTAAAGGGGAATCTTCTCTTGCTGTGTATTGATTTGAGAACTGGGCTTCAAAGAACAGAAATGAAGCCAGCAGCTCTCAGCAGGCGACTGCTCCACATGGAAAGTCTCACAAGCAGATTTGCTTCCTACCCTGCTCATTTGTTGCCAGCCTTAATGTGGCTCCTACGTGACTCTTGGGCACGTACCTCAGGGTCAAAGTCGGGAGTGCCGCCCTCCTTCAGCACATTGACCTTCTTCTCCATCTCCTGGTACTGGCAGAGGGCTCCCTTCTTGTCCCCCTGGTTGTAGAGCAGGACAGCATAGTTGAGGTTGACGAGGGGGTTGCTCCTGCAGCAAACACACAGGATACAGGATAAGAAAATTTACCCCGACAGGAGCAATGCGGAGGTGGGCCCAAGCACCTGGAGGTGCCGTGGTCCTGCAGCTCGGCTCGCTGCACAGCCAACTGCCCCTGCCTGCCCATCGACGCAGGAGCGCGCGCGCACGGACTGTTCAGAAGGGAGGAGACACTCTGCTCCTTCCCAGAGCACCTGGTCTTCACTGGGTTGCACAAAGCCAGGGCAGGCACTCGCCTGGCAGAGCCAGGAGCGGGAGCAAACTCTGCCCGAGGGAAGGAGCGAGGGGACTGCCCTGGCTGTGTGGATGTGCCAAAAGCCCTCAGCCGCCCAGCCCTTCTCTAGGTGTCCGCACAGCCACCCCACAGAATGCGCTGACCATTCCTGGGCCACGTCCTGCAAAATGCCTCTCTAATACCTTCAGGAGGGAAAGGAATGCAAGGCGGCCGCTGCTCCCGGCCTGGAAGGATTCCTTCTGGATCCCAGGGGCCAGAGCAGAGGAAAGGCACCAGGAGAGGAGGGCCTAGCCAGGGACCCCTGCAGAGAGGCCAGTTCGGGTATGGAGGGACGCTGTCCCCGAGCGAGGGACTGCTGCCCTCTCCTGGAGCGCGGCAGAGAGAGCCGGAGCCACCCCGGGCTGCAGCAGCCGCGCGGCGCCGGAGCCGGGAGGAGGGATGAGGCTTCTGGAGCCGCCTCTCCTTGGAAGCGCACAAGGGATGCGGTCCGCTAGCACTGCTCGGGAAGCACCAAGTGTCACCTGCAGGCCGGGACTAGCAATTCCTGCAAGTTACATGACAGCGCGCTGACGAAGAGGACTGTTAGGAAGAAGCTACAGCCTTGATAACCATCGTGTCTCCCTTAACGGAGAAGCTGCGCTTGCAGGAAAAAGATCAACACCTCCCCAGCTCTCTTAGACAAAGCAAAGCACCGTGTGAAAAACAAAAGGCAGTAAAAAGCCAAGGAAGTGCCTCTAAAGTTGGCACAAGACCACACAAGATCACATGGAAAATTGGGAATAGCAGCTTTAAAACTGATTGAAACCTCTCAAACTAATTCTCCTTCCCGAGCTGGAAAGCGACACAACCACCAAAAAATGTAAATAATCACAGAAAGAAAGGGCAACTACGAGCTGAAAACCAGCACCAAGAGGAGCAGCTGGCATCTTTTTAAGAGATTTTCCCCAGATACTTCCCCTTCCAGACCCCAGCGTGGCACCCGTGCCCAACGTCCCGGCGTCACTATCCAAGAATTTATGGCTGTGAAAGCGGACACAGCTCCTTCATCCGCGCCACAGCAAAGAAAGCCTGCGGGAACACGGATGTAGCCATAAAAAATCGAGAGGAAAAGGGACCATCTCAAGTATTTTCTCCTGGCCCCTCGCAGTGGTCAGTGCAGAGGGAAAGGTGCATTCCCAGGACCCGCCGCACGGCTCTGCTCTCAGCAGAGTCCCCTCAGCTCGTGCCACGTGCAGAATATTCTGGGAACGCTCTTTTTCTTCTATTGAACCTGCTCCATTTGGTATCAATCTCAACCAGAAGAAGACCTGGAATCCAAAATCATTATCACTGACTCACTGTACAAATAACAAAATAAAAATCAGCTTTGGGTTGGTCCAAAACAAGATCTCCCTTCCGCTTTTTTCTGAGCTGGCCTGTACCCTTGAAAAGTTTTTAGCCAGCGATTTGCACAGTTCTAAGCATAAAAATATCCCCCTCTTATGAGTCACGCAGGGTAGAAGGGGACAGAGGGACAAAGTGTGCAAAGAAAACCACGTAAAGGGAGAAGAAATTTGATCTAACAGCCAATAGGTACATTTAAGACTTACTTGTCCAGGGCCACAGCTTGCTCATAGGAGAGTTTTGCATTCTCAATGTCCTCCAGGTTTGTCAGAGCAACTGTACCAAAACAGAACGGACGCACAGATGTTCATGCACCGCAGGGACTCGAGATGATTTGGAGTGTTGTTAAATCATAAAACGAACAAGAGTGGAAGATGCCCGGCAGGGCTGTCCAGACAGTCCTGCCCAGGCCAGGAGCACCTTTCCTCAGGTCACTCTGGTGGATATTTGTCCGGCTTGAGCGCACAACTCGCCAGTGCTGGGGTTGCACACCCTTCCCTACAGCAATCTATTCCAGCACCAAACTTCAGGGATAGACTGAAGCTTTTTCCAATGGCTAGTCTGAATCTCACTGCACTTTTATTCACAACGCCTAGGAGGGAACAGCTCCTCGCTCCAGCATTTGGCCCATATTTGCTTGTTTCAGCCCAAGCTTCTCTCTGAGGTGTTACATCAGTGTCTATAAGTACCTCAAGGGAGGCAGTGAGGAGGATGGTGCTGGCCGCTTTTCACTGGTGGCCACTGACAGAACTAGAGGTAATGGCCACAGGCTGAAACACCAAAAGTTCCGCAGGAACTTAAGGAAAAATTTCTTAACAGTGAGGGTGACAGAGCCCGGGAACAGCTGCCCACAGAGGTTGTTTCTCTGGAGATCTTCAAGACTCACTTGGAGGCAGTCCTGTGCCACGTGCTCTGTGTGTGCAGGGAGGTTGGACTAGATGTCCTCTAGAGGTCCCTTCCAACCTTAAACATTCTATGATTCTATGATCCCCTAGGCTGGGTGCAGCCCAGGTGTGGCTAACAGAACGCTGTGTACCTGCCAGGAGCATATAGAGCTCTCCCATCTTGGGCTGGAAGCTGATGGCAGCGCTGAGGAAGTGGAAAGCGGACGCGTACTGCTGCATCGTGAGGTGCACCAGGCCCAGATTGTAGAGGATCTTCCAGTCAAAGGGAGCCAGGTAGTTTGCTCGCTTCAGGCAACTGATGGCCTTCAGAAAGGAAGAACAGCGTGTGGTAACGCAGCGCTCCCGTCTCGGCCACAGCAGGACTCTTGTTCTTACATACAGTTCACCACCGATGGAAAAGGGGAAAAAAGATAAGGAGACGGGCTACTTACTGCTACGTATTTCTTCTTGCCGAAGAAGCACATTCCAATGTTGTTCCACAGCGGGGGGCTTTCGGGCGCGGCGCTGGCGACCACCTTGTATTTGGCGAGGGCCACATCGAAGTCCCCGTGGCTCTGCATCATGCTGCCCGCTGCCAGCGTGGCCTGGAGAGAAGCACAGAGCACAGCTGGGGACCTGCGTCCCGCCACGCGCGCAAGGAGGCCACGGGGCAGGGAGGTTCGTCTGAAAGCACCTCGGGAAGAGACGTCTTGTTCAGGCGTCTCCCAGCAGCTGCCAAGACGGGGCCTCTAGAGCCTCCCAATGTACAGCAGGACACTACAGCGGACAGGAGGGAATCCCCTCCTTCCAGTACTGCATATTTGGATCATAACTGTCTCGGAAATAGCGCTCAGGGTACGTTTTGGGGTGACACCAGGAGCTTGCAGGGTTCCTGAGTCTTTGAGATCTACACACTGGCAGTTTCTTTTTATCAACCATACGGTTGGAAAGAGCCCTGGTGCAAGTTAACTAGGGATTAAAATACACACGAGTGAGACGTATGCAGCAAAGCTCGCCCAGTTCACAGCCACTGCTCCATACTGCAAACTAACAGGAACAGGCCTACAGAGAAGAGCAAGGGACTGCAACACACTGTATTCAAACCACAGTAAGCTACTTAAGTCACTTCGATATTTCACAGTGACCAATTTTGGAAGTGTCAAGGTGTTTTCACAATAACATTTGGGTTGCATTCATGTATCACGTGCCAAGCACACTCCTCCACGTTCCGCATTGCTCAAGGAAAATGAGGCAGTGAAATGAAGCAACATGCCTAAAAAGGGAAGCCGTTTCCAACTCAGGAACTGAACCTGGATGCCAGGCTCAGCTCCCCAGCCTGGAAAGGAGCTTTAAGATGTATCGCATCATCATTCAGCTGGTTCTTTTCCAGCCCTCACAGTACCTTGTAGTTGGTGGGGTCATAAGTAAGCGCATTTCCAAGGTGTTCAAAAGCCTTCTGGTAATCCCCAAGCTGGGAAAGAAGTAAATGAGGATCAGAAATTAAGGAACAGGGGATTGTGGAGGGACAAACCTGCTTTTTGGAGACCAGAACTTCCAGTTCAACTAAAGCTAGGATTCAGAAGGGTAAGTTTTATATTGCTCCTATTAGACACACACATTCTTGATTAATAATTCATAAAGCAGAGCCTAAAAATCAATTTTACTTAATGAACTTCACTGTTCTGACCAAAACCAAGGTTTCTATTACATTTGCACTGTGACATTCCTATACAGGAGGGAACTCTGGGTTGACGTTCCTCTGCTCCTGAATCTCTTTCAGAAGAGAAACTACAAACTGCTCAGCACATCCTTGATGACCACAATGTTCTCACTCCTCAGGATGCTCTGCACTCTTCTTGCAACCTTCTGATGGGCTGCAAACATTAGTGGCAGGATTATGCACATATGTGAGCACGTGGCTACTCAAAATCACTTCAATCTTACTGGTTTCATTGGAGTCATGCCGGAATTGTACCAGTCTGACTAGACAAAATTGTGCCTACTGGTGTCTTTCTTGGTCATAGAAATTAATGAAAAGTCCATTTTTCACTCCAGCGATTACACTGAATAAACAGATGGTCCTTCACATGCACTTCACAGAGCCGAGTGATGAGCAAGCTTTTGTCATTTCAATCATTCTGGATTTTTTTCTAAGGTGCATTAGGTGCACTAACAATTTCCTGGCTACTTTTAGGAGCACAACTTGCTGGGCTCCTGCTAGAGATAGCAAGTTAATGACCAGTCATGTTTGATTGTACCTGGAAGGTTTGCAACAGAATTAGGGCAGCTGCCGAACAGAATTCCAGCTCTGGCTCAATTCCATGAAATCAACTTCCTTTTAGCAGTAAAATGGAAAAAAGAAGACACAGAAAAGCACGTTCTGTCACGTCAGACACGGCCTTTACAGAAAGGTGTGAAGCTAATATAAGGGTACATAGGAATTAATGCTAAAATCAAACTTAAATCATTTTGAAAGTCAGTAAGCCCATACGATAGCTAACAGTTCTCAGTACCTGCAGGTAGAGTAACCCCAAATTCGTAAGGAGCTCTGTGTTCTCCGGAGAAAATCTGCAATACAAAAGCCAAAGAGCTGCATTGCTTCTTCTAGGACAAGATACAGTGCAGAATATGGGATTCTTATGCCCAGCTATACTAGTATCACCCCAGGAAATTCACTGTTATTAAACCCAAACATCAGGACAATTTTCACCATGGGGACGTCCTTTGAACAATGTGACCTCTTGACAGAGGCCACGAGAGTTCTGGGAAGCAGCCTTTACAATACAGGCCAATGGAGGTGCAAAAAAACAACGGGATTTTCTTGAATACTCACGCTCGTAAGAGCATCCCCGTTCCCAGGAGCTTTCAGGCAAAGAAATAAATGGACGAAACAAGGCTAAAGAAATGCACACACACACAAAAGCCGCACACTCACAGCCACGGTCACCATGACAGGACCGAGTTTTCATGTCACGGCTGCAAGGTGAGCTCAAGCCTGACACAGTGTAATAATATTCACAATCACACAGGCCCCGTTAAACCAGAACCAGAACTAAAACTGGTGTTACAGAAACAGGCAGTAGCCACAGACCATCCTAGAGCAGGTGAGAGCAGACAAAATGTAATAGTCAGATGAGGGGAAAAAAAGAGAATCCAAGCAGATGCGAGGAAGAAGGCAGGAAAGGGGAGGCATGGAGACAAGAAACGGAAACCCAGTAAAATACTTGGCAAGGATTAATTCCACAATAAGCATTCTAGGTGAACACAGTATACTGACAGACAGCAGCCAAAAGCGGATGCTTAAGGAAAAAGCATGTGAAAAGGGCAGGTACAAAACGGACATTATCCACTGGCTTCTGGCAACCGTGTGGTTAGGGACAACCTACTTTTGTTTAGTGTTTGTCCACATTATAAAGCCACTTCCCCAAATCCCTGATGAGTCAGATGTCAAGCTGTGCTCAGAAAGGCCCTGAAAGAAGCTGGGTCAGGACTGAGAAACACCCACAGGCTGGAGAATCTCAGAGTGCAGCCGCCCATCTCTGCTCCATCAACTCGAACACAAACTACTTCAGGTGAATTCAGTCCATGAAACCCAACAACTGAACTCTGACACTCAGGGCTAGATCTTTTTGGTCTAAACAGCCCTAGGACGTAAAAGTCAGTGTTGGACATGTTTGCTCCCAAGCACCTCCATCCGTTTGCTTTCCCCTTCTTGGCAGACCTTCAAACAGGCACCTCCTTCCATGACACTGTCAACACAAGGAGGGTACAGCTGAGAGCAGAGACAGCAAAGAGGTCCCATTAGTGCCAAATTTGCACAAAGACACTATAATTACCATTAGCTTTTTAATAATGCATTTCTGTCCTCAGCTGGGATCTGGGACACCAATCGAATTTCTCCTGGCACAGTCTGGGACACGGGCAGATAAGAACAACGATATAATCTTACTCTACTGCCTTCTTATAGACTTCAAGGGCTTTATCAGTCTCTCCTTCCAAGAGGTGAATTTTCCCCAGCATCATGTAAGTCAGCTCATGTTTGTTGAGCTCCAGGGCGCTGTTGAGCTGGTCTTGTGCCTAAACACACAACCACAGAGAGGAAAAGCGTTGGTGATCACAGCGAGCCTTGGAGCAACCCCCAGCAGCCGGCACGCAGCAGAGGAACGCGGCCTCGTGGCCAAGACAAGCTCTGCACCGGGAGCCACAGGCTCGGAGCAGCAGCGGGACGCAACGCTCAACGCTTCCAGCCAAGCTGGAAGGGAAGAGAGGGGCAGAGACCTGGGGCAGAGAGGAGCAGAGACCTGCCCGCTCCTGTACTTGGATTAGTTTGGTTTGAGGGCTGCTCCAGATTTGTTAGGTTCTTTTCCTTCTAAAATGCTTATTCCAGCAATAAGCAGGGCTGCCAAGCAAGCAAGAGCAGTGGATCAGCTTGCCAGGTGCACGCTGATGCCCTCCAAGAGGAGACACTTCCAAGCACGTCCTTCTCTAGCTGCCCCAGGCCAAGCCTGCAGGACAGTAGAAATTGGTGCTGCTTTTGCATACAGGGTACTTTAGCAAGAATAATGCTGACAAAGGAAAGCAGCTCTGCAATACTAAGTGTTTGCTACCAGCAACTACTAAGAAGCCCAAATCACCTCCATGAGCTTCCTTGTATTGCAGAGGCCCTCAGGAAAGTACTGAGCATGTGTTTGTGCCCAGGTGACCATTATAGGTCTGTGGGACAGCCAAGAAATTAGTAGGAGGCAATATGGAAGACATTAATGAATGTGATAAATCCCAAGTACAAACCTGTACTACAGAGCTTCTTGCTTTGCAGTGCTGCAGAGCCAATGGGCCAAACTGGGACTGGAGTTTTTCTAAATGCCAATTTTTCCTTTACCCTATGTGATCAGAGCCCACTTAGCGCTCCTTACAAGCGCCCAGGAAGGGTTAAGGGAAGAGCTGGGATTGCCATGTGTAGAACAGGCACCAAAACTGCACTGCAAGTTCCCTACAAGTCCTTCCCTCCCAAGGAGGCAGCAGCAGCGTGACCGTGACCGTGCCGGCAGCCGTGCTCCTTTACAGCCTCTGCCCCGGCCTGGGCCAAAAGGAGCTGCGGACACAGAGCGAATCCTTTCCATGGAGGGAGGGGACAGACGACAGCAAGCAGAACCTCTAAGTCCTCTCCCTGGAGCCAGCCAAAGTTCTGCAAAGTCTCCTTCAATCCCAGGAAGCTCCCTGCACGAGGCAGAGCGGTTTAAGCAGTTGACAAGATCCAAATTTTGCTCCTTCAGAACCGTCAAACTGACACACAAACCTTCCATGATTCCTCTCACTGTTGCTGATCCACTTTGCACTACCAAAAAGAGCGAAAATTCTGCAACCCTCCCTCTCGTTTGCCAGGCAGGCGAGGCGAGCACTGCGTTACCTTGTTGAAATGCTTCAGGTACATGTAGCACACACCCAGGTTGTGGCTGATCTCCTGGATGCACAAACAAGAAACGAACCAAAAAAATGCAAATTAGCATGAGGTTTGAGGGATGTGCTGGGTAACCTGCAAAGACAGTAACAGCCACCACTGCCCTGCACGGGGGACATCCCAGTGCCTGCCCACGCTCTTCTTGCTTTGTAACACAAATAGCTCTATGTCCAAATATATCCACAGAGCAAGGCACTTCACGAACCTGCAGCCTCATTGCACAGGGAAGACTACAGAGCCGTGAGATAAAAGCAGAGAGGTGAGGACAGTCTCTTAAGGGAGCAAGGAGCAAAGATCCATTTCTTTGCTGGGATGCAAATTGATTCCCAGTGAGATCTCTGAAGCTGACACAACCTGCCCTTATGGGGGGCTCACTGGGAGGCAGACTGGATATGCACAGTACTGCACCTAGCTGGCCACACGCTGGAAAATGGGCCAAGCTTTCTGAAACAGAAGCTGGGCACCAAAAGGGCTGCTATCCCTATGGCATCCTCATTGTGCTTGCAACACACTAGGAAAAACACTTTGGCATCCTAAACACTCTAGTGACACTGCAGGGAACAAATCACACTTCCAGCTCATTGCCAAGAGTTTTATAGACAAGCTACATGCCATCTTCCTCACCCTGCTACATTTTGGGGAGTAGAAACGCACGGCTCATTAGTTTCTTGTTTCTATTCTGGTAAAAGTTTCACTGCTTCATCAATTTAGACAGCCTTGACCTTTAAAAGGAAACTTCCACTTTCAACAGTCTTTTGCATTACCAAAGGACCCTGCTAATGCAAACTCAAACTTCATTAAAACTCAAGCAAGTTTTAATGATAACGGACGGTTTCCAAAGGGGGAGCAGCTTCCCATGCTTTCCATAAAGAAACCTAGCTCTGGGAACTACATATGGCCATGCTAACAGCAACACTCTACAAAGCTCTGGCATGTTGTAGGGGGCTCTGTTTGTGCCCTGAGGCTACGGGGGCGTTTCTGCAGGTAGAAATGATACCCTGTGCCTGTGATCTAAACCAGAAGCCACGAGCTCACCTCCTGCTGCAAATTTGAGACATCCATATGCTATAAAAAACTGCAACTTACTGATACACTTACCCAGTCCTGTTCATTGAGCTTAGCTGCGTCATTGTACACTTCAATGGCTGCCTTGTGTTTCCCCAAAAGAAACCTGTGAAAGCATTTCAAATTTTACTTTTTCCTGTGCAAACACTGTCCCCTTTGCCAGTAAGAACTGATGCTATCTGCCAGTTCCCCCAGGACTGCATGAGAAGCCATGAGAAGTTTCTGTTCCGAGTGACAAGCCGGCACTGCTCCTTCTCAAGGCCAAGGTCCTCACACCTGTGAGGTGTGAGGGCTCCCTCACAGCACCCCAGAGGTAAGGAGTAAATCTCTGCAACCTGCCCTTGTCCCAAAGGAAAGAGCCAGGGGATCGAAAGCAAATCGAGAAATCACTCGAGAGATGGAAAGGAGCCAGCAAGGACAGGCACAGAGCTGAAATCAGCTAAGCCCCTTTGCTCTGCCCCCAGGAATCCGTGTGCTACCTCTCACTTGAAACCCAAATTAATAAATACCACAATAGCAGCCGGGCAGATAAGAGAGATTCTGCTTTTAAGGCTGGCCCACGCTTCTGAAGATCAGCTCTAGTGTTGATAAGGAGGAAGCGTGCTCAGAATTAAGCAGCCCAGGATCTCACTCGAAGCCGGGGAGAAATGCAAAGCATGGGAGGTGCTGGGTGGCCCGGCCAGGAGAAGCAGTAAAACTCCACTCACAGCGACCGCGCCACTTGCTTGAGGTTGTTGGCACTTCGAGGGTTCAGAATGGAGCACGTCTGAAAAAGTTCAAGGGATTCTTGAATTTTCCCCTCCAAGCGAAGTATGAGAGCTGCAAGACAACACACATCGGGCAGCTTAGTCCACTAGCGGTGGGAAATACACGGGAATAACGCGCATGTGCTCCTCCGCCTCCGCAGCACCCCGGACGGAGGAAAAGAGCAGGAAAAGACACCTAAAGCACTAGTGCTTGCTCGGAAACGTCTGTTCTTCCGAGCAAGGGCAGCCTTAAACCCTGGCCAATTGCTCATTCAGGTACAGCCTGCGTTTCTCCTCCTGCAAAACATCCTTGGCCAACAAACCTCAACTGTCCTCACCCCGGGAGACTGGCTTAGAGGACGGAGAGCAGGACGGGAAGACAAGGACCGTCCTTAAGGATGGCAGTGAGGGAAGTGGGACCTAAGGCACGGCACTCCTGCAGGAACCGAGCATCTGTGTCACAGTCATGGCATTCAAACACAACCTGATCAAATATCAGCACATTAAAAGCCAGGAGTCCCTAACGCAACAATGAACCAAGGACAAATTCAACAATAAGGAGAAAACAGAAAAAGCAATTTGTACATTCCTGGGATAATCCTGAATTTCCAAACTCGACACAGCAAGCAGAGAAAGGTCAAAAATGTATTTTTGAGTATGAATTTTGTACCTTTCTCCTTCATTTGTTCCCCCTTCTGATTGCGCACTGTATCTGAACCCAGAAATAACTTGGTGCAGCAAAAAAACTCCCGTGACTTGCAGAGGCCTCGGGAACGTACCTTGAACGTACACGGCATATTCACACATTCCATGAGATTCCTCCAGCTGCTCCTTGATGAGTGCCTGCAACACGTTAACACACAAAGGACAGGTGGAGTCACACGGGACACAGCCAAGAGGACAATCACACCACCAGAATTTGTGCTCGGAAAAGTCTGTATTAAAATAGAACTTGCAGCTAGTTTTTGCGATATGTATGAAAGTCCTATAAGAGTGGTCAGCTTATAATTGTTTAAAAAAGGAAATAAAAGAGAGAGGTTGTTTCAAGTGTGTACACAAGAGATTTGTGCAAATAGATCTCACTCATTAACAAATGTCAATTTTTTAACTAAGTGTGTGAAGTTTTGGGCAGAATGTGACTGGCTCTGGTTCCTAGCAATGGCACAGAGAGGAACATAAATGTCCTTTTCCCCCTTCTTTTCAAAAGGAATAATTTAATTGCCTCTCCAAGGCAGCAGAGGATACTTCCACTGTAAGAGAACACAGATTTGTCAAGCCTGAAAATAAATAAATAAATAAACCCAAATAAATGCCACATATAATAAAGGCACCGGAATGGGGACAGGGCGACTGCAACGCTGAGCCTAACAGTGCAAACTCAGCCCCAATTTGTGCAGGGCCCTGTGCCAGGAACGCCGCAGCCCTGTTAGCATTTCTCTGCTCCTTCCTATTAGCGAAGATAATTAAATATGACCTGGGGAAAATACCATGAGGAATCTCTGCAAACATCCCAGGCTGATAAGGACATCGACTCCAGCCCCTTTGTGGAGAAATAAATTGAATGGGAGCAACAGCAGCTGAGTCGAGGAGAGCCCAATGCCCAAATGACGCACGTAGGGGAAAGGGGAGGAAAAACAAGGATGAAAATGCAAATTCTCGCTGGCCTCCTAGTGCAGCAATCCCTGGGTGCTGGGGGTTGTTTGCTATAGTCTATAATTGCACATGATGTGAAATAATAAAAGCAGTGACTTCTGGGGGGCTGCGGGCCAAGACCCAAACACATCATCTCTGCTTCCTTGGCTCCCAAGGCGACGGCAAAGGACGTTCGTCCAGGCTGATTTGTGCTCCTCCGCCTGCATGTCCCCTGCTCCCGCCCAGGGGAGAGCCAGGGGGAAAACTGCCCCTACGGCACAGCACGGAAAAGCCAAGCCGGGTGATGGAGAAAGGAAAAGGAAAAACAGCTCCAGGCTGCGCTTCCCCTCAGATCTGTTCCTGCTTATCTCTCACCAGAGTCCATCCACGTTTTAGCCTTACAGGCATCACCATCAGATGTTCCTAAATGACAAATTTTCGGGATACGGATACCCTATGTTGTTCCAACTACACCGTATCAGTCTCTCGGAGGAAGAGAGAGCAACAGAGAGCTATCACTTAACGATTTCTGATTAATTCTTTAAGCCTTTAAGAAAACAATGACAAAAAAACCCACAGCGCAAGGTTTGCGCTGAGAAATACAATCTGGAATCCCAGCTTTTCCTCCTAAGTTTATTTAACTTGCTGACAGAATTTAGATGTGTTGGCAGGAGACCAAAAAACAAGGAGCGATTTTAATTAATTAAAAGCAGCTGGTAATTTTAGCAATTCCTTCCTCACCCATCCCAGGAGCAGAGGATTTCTGTCGGGAAAAAAACAGGGGGAAGAACTGGAAGTGAAGCTACAAAGCAGTCTGTGCAGCTTCTTGCCTTTGCATGTGAAGGCTAGAGGTGAGTGACGCTTGCTGGTTAGCAGGGTCTGTCCCTCTCCTCTCCCCCTTGTCATCCTCATGCCAAACGGAGCAGCATCGATTGCTAAAACTTGGCGACACCAAAGCAGACACAGAAATGGGACTGTGAAAGCTCTAATTTAACCCTGTTGCCTGGGGGAGCCAAGGGTAAGAAGCGGGCGGTTCTAGCTTGCCCTTTTACGGCACGGACAAACATGGGAATTTTAAGAATCATATTAGGGAGAAGTGGAACAAAGCAGGGAGCAGAAAAGGAGACCCAGCAAAACCTGAGGTCTTAAAAGCAGTAATGGTTTTTAGGGAATGGTCAAACTCTACTGAAATCAATGAGTTTACAGAAATTAAAGCCATCGGGCAGAGCAGCAATGCCTCTTTGGAAGCACGTTTGGGACATGCCAGGGTTGATCCCCATACACAGGGACATGCAGGTTGGCGTCGCAAGCTCACAGGACGCCGGGGAGCAGAGCGGGTCCAGCCCCGAGATCCGAATTGCCTTTCAGACACCCTGTCACTGCTCAGTGCCTGCAGAAGGATCCCAGGCTCTTTTAGGATCCTGCCTTCCCTGAGACAAGTCCAACATCTGCCCAAAAGGGCAGGGGATTCTCTGCAAGTGGTGGATCTGGTGCCAAACTCTCGCAAGGTTATGGAAAAAGCATTTTGGAGAGCCCTGAGGCTCCAATATAAACCAGTAGGTTGCTGCCTATTAGAGCCTTTGGGCTGCACAGCTACTGCTGCAAAACTGGTCTGCCAAGGAAAGGACTATTCAGTGTATTCTCTAGATTTTTTTACCCTTTCCTGGTTCCTTTAGTGACTAATAAAGGCCTGGAGAGGTCAATGCTCCTTTTACATCATCCGCTTGGTTATTTTCTGTTGTCCTGAACTGGGCATCTTTTCTGCACTCTCATCTGATCTCAAAGCCAGTAAAATCACAAAATGAGAGGCCGAGGAAATGCAGACACATCAACAGAAAATGGAAGCAATTTCCATTTAGACTGCTAATTATAGCTTTTGTTTATATCTATTTAAACCAAGACCTGAGAGGAAATCGCTCTGCCAAGGATACTACCCTCCAGCTCCATTAATTAAGACCTAAATGAATTTCCTCTGGCCTGCCACTTTCCTAAGCAGCCCCAGGAATTTTCCAACAGAGAGAAAAGACAAGTCTGGACCAATCCTGCTCTCTTGGAAGGAAAATAACCCCTTCAGATCTTCTTTGCAAGATGCAGAACCAGGAAGGTAACTTCTTTTTCTCCTCCTCCTGCCCATTAGCGGATCACCTTTAATAGCTGGTGTGCATTTTGCCAGGAAAACACAGTACTGAACAGGCTTGCCATTTCCTTATCTCACTTACCACCGCAGTTCCCAAGCAACAACCATTTCCAAGTTATCGTCCAAAACCAGAAGAAACTGAAAGGCTACAACAGATCATGTGTAAAAGGAACACATCTCACTCAAGAAAAGCCAAGACCTTTTCTCACACTCAGTATAAACATGTTTTACTCAACTGAAGTGTTTTTCATAGTGTCTCTGTAGACTCTGAACTATGCAACTGAGTTATAATCAGTTGGGAAGACTGTTCTGACAGCTGGAGCATGAGAGGTCTGCAATTCTTTTAATGTTTTTCCACTTCTAAAGACATAAAGAGTTCATTGGTAGCTCTAGAGAACTGCAATTTTGAGACCTGAATGTAGCTGAGAATTCAGTTACTGTCATTTTGACCCTTATTTCAGTTGCATTTTCTATTAAAAAGAGAAGTCAGGAGAGAGCATGGTTAGGACCCGGACTAACTTCAGACTTGGGACATTACATTGGGTGTGCAGAGATTTCTGAAGAAAGGAGAAGTCCCACTGACACTCTTAGCACCACTGCTCAGCTCGGGGCAGACAAACGACCACGTCTCAAAAGTGGCTCTTACCTTACATGCGTCAAAGTCTTTGCGAACGTAGAGCAGATAGATCAGCCAGTTGTTTCTCTCTAGGAGTGGTAACTCCGGCTCTACGTGTAAAACATGAGCAGAAAACACTAAATCAGTGGTCAGCAGAGAACTCGAGCACAGCACACGCGAGTTTTCTAACCTGCCAAGTGCAATGCAACTAATTCGAGAACTGCAATTGCACTCAGCAGACTTGGAGCATGGAGAAGAGCTGTATCATTAGTGCCCACTTCATTTCCCAAGGAGACATTTCAAATTGATGGATAAAAACGCACCATTCAAAACAGAGACCCCGAGGAGACCTCTTAATAGGAAACAGAAAACTACTACTTAGAACAACTTGAGTCATCTGTTGTCCAAACTAACCCTGGTTTGATGGGATTAGATCTTCCAGGTACACAAGCAGCAGCTTGGGGAAAATGAGTTGGATTCACAGTTGGTAACTGAGACAGAAAAATCAAGCGTCTTTAAAAGAAGCTTCTGGGGGAGAGAGAGAAGGTGTCAGGTATTAGCAGAGATTTGGGGTTACTGCTTTTCTGAAACCACAAGGGAGGATGTGAATAATTTAGAGAAGTCAATCATAGCTCACTGAAACGCTGAGGGGATGAGGACACATCCCAGGTCTGAGATGGTGTGAAGCTACTGGCAGGAAAACGTGTTCAATGTGGTGCAGGAGAAGCCCTCGTGCTCCAGGATTTCAGCCACAGCAGCAATGACAGCAGCTCACACGGGGGTGTTGCTGGGTGCTGTCCATGCCGGGCTCCAGCGCTGAACGCGCTGCTGCGCATTTCATCAGGGCTCAGAGCACATTGCTCGGTGTCCGCCTCCCGCTTCGGGTGCCGGGAGCTGCACGGTAACTATAGCAACGGGCAAAAAAGCTGCCTGCTTGCAAGGCAATATTGCGACGGCGGCGCGGAGCAGAGCCCGGCGCAGGAGCGGCGACTCCGCGGCGACGCCGGCCTCGCTGCGACCCACCGCGCAGCGCAGCGGTTAAACCTCCGGCACCGGTCAAGAAAGACTGAGAACGACTCTGCTGCTGCTGCAGTGAGGGCTGAATCATTTCAGGCCACCTCCTCTGGTGCAAAATATGTTGTCTTTAAGGAACAGTGAGTTCCGACTACCTGAAGGACTGCGCTTGCAGCTAGGAGCACGTACGCAGCGCTCGAGCACACCGGGTTTTTCTCCATCCCGCTACAGCATCAACGAGAGCACTTAAAAATGGCTAACATTGATTTGACTGGCACCTCAACTACTTTAAGAAACCGGGGGGGAAAAAAAGGAAAAGGGTTTTGTCTTTATATTCTATAACACCTATCCAGACTTGCACTGGGATGAAGTCAAGATTTAGGTGTACACATCAGCTATGCAAGTTCAAATACCTGACAAAGACGGTTTAATTACCCCCCAAAACAAGAAAAATGAGATTCCAACCAAAGTCATTAAAATATGTTAAACTCACAGAAATGCAAAGATCAGGGATCCAAATGTTTTTAAATTCTACCCTGCTGTGTGTAATAACTGGATCTTTCCAACTAAAACAATTGAATGTGTGAGTTTCTAGATCGGAGGAGCTTGATCCCTGATGATGTTTTGTGCTCCCTTTCTCCATGGTTTTACTGCAAGGAAAGAGCTAAAAGTGGTACCTCAGCAGCCAGGAATTGAGTGAAACCCTCCCTTTCAGCACGGGCCGGAGGGTGGCCGTTCTGGAGTCCGCCAGGGGTTACCTAATTTGTTTTCACATTTGCAACGACTTCCCTGTGCAAGTTATTACGGCTGCCAGGATTTGACACAACTTTCTTTTCCCAGGACAAATAGAGCAACTGCAGACCCCAGAAATGAACCACAGCACGGGCTCCTATGACCCTCCGTGCGCTTCCTCGGGTGTCACCATCTAATGAAAAATACGGAACCAGATCCCCCAGAACGTGTCCTATGCTCCTCTGCAAGCAGAACCATTGAGCACAGACATTGCAAACCCTACATAACCATCCGGATTGCAGTTATGGTCAAACCATAGCAAAAATTGGCAATTCAACCAAATGGTGCCATTCACGGCAACTGGGCAATGGCAATTCATGGTGCCATTCAACCATTGCTGCTGGTAATACAGCTTAAAATAGCCAAGTCCCATATGGTTACGAGCTACAAGAGTTGTTTTAAAGTGGGAAGAATCAAAAGACCTTCCAGATATGCCCAGGGACCTGCTCTCAAACCTGAAGTGCTCTCAAAGTTGAAGTGCAAGTTTTACCAAGAGGTGAAAAAGCAGCAAAGGTGCCATTAAACCCTTAAAAAACCCACCCATAAAGGAGCTAGCTGGCTGGTGTGTGTCCCCAGGCGAGGTGGAAAGACCGAGCTGCCTGCAAGCACATGGGAACCTTGCGGGGCAGAGCAACAAGGGGCTGCGAGCGCTCCTGGCCGATCCTGGAGGAGAGGGACGTTGCAGGGCTTTCCGACTGGCGGGACGCTGTGATTCCACCTCCTGTGCTAGGGAAGCTCCTGCTGAGGACACTGCAGGGGAGGAAAAAGAATGCAACGTTCCCCCAGCCCGAGGAGAACGATTTTCAGGCACCCAAGATAAGTGAGATTTGCATCTCTTCTCAATCAAATTGAGGAAACACTGGAGCTTTTACTCGAGATTTGCATCTCTTCTCAATCCACTGAGCTAAGCTGAAATTGAGGAAACACTGGAGCTTTTACTCCCCTAAAACTTGTTTGGAGATAGCAACGAACCCGATTGAAAACACAACAGCTGTTATTTGTATTTTCCTCTTTGGTTTTAGCACCGCAGCTGAAAAGTGTGAAAAAGGCAGATTAAACAGCTCATGCCTTTATAAACACCTATCTAGATCAATCCATACATACCAAGTGATCTGCACACAAATAGATACAAAAATTCACAAAGTCAAACAGATGCAGGGAGACCAGCAAGAAAAGAAAGCTCTGAAGAACCCCAACGTAAACACCCCAAACCAAGGCTGGTGTGCAGCCTCCAGAGCGATGAGAGGAAGGGCAAAGAAACTGGGAAGAAATCAGTACTTCAGTAGACACAGGATCCCCCAGGAGCGGGGTGGGAGGCAAAGGACTATTACAGGACTCTCTTTTCCTCCAAGACAAAAACATTGAATGTAGGTTAGTCCCTCCAGAGCCATTTTCATTTGCTTTTCTTTACCCTTTCCTTCCTGTCCTCTCATTCATCTTCATTACGGCTGCTCCCCGGCCAAGCGGGCTCGTCCCCCAAGGGTCCCTGGGCATTTCGGGGCCCGGGGAAGTGCAGCCACCGAGCAGAGCAAGGGCAGGACAGGTCCGGCCCCTTGCTCGAGGGGCCTCCCGCAATGCTCCTAACAGCTACGTCGTTCTTTTTTTCACCGCAATCTTCCGTCATTACCGCCTGCACCAGTCCCGTCGCAGCTGGGCACCGCAAAGGCCGCTCAATTTGGTGTCCCCGTGAGGAAAAGAGCACTTGTGGCAGGTTTGGCAGGTGCCTGCACTGCAATTTTTCACCCTTCTTGATATCTGGACCCTCAGAAGTTCCTCCTACATGACTGCACATGAAAACCTGCTTTTCTTCGCTTCCACAGAACCCCCACAAACAATGCAGCATCTGCAGGGATATGGGCACTACTGCTTGAAAAAGCTGTGGTTTTCGTGGATTTCTGCCTTTCTAGCGGTGGGGAGAAAGAAACAAGAAAAATCAAATTATTTCCTGTGAATCAATCTACTCAAATCCAGTCCAAGAAAAGGCAATTATCCCCAAACTTGCTATCTACACTCCAAAGGGTCCGGAACTTGCATAATTATCTTCTGCCCTCTTTTCCGGGCTCACAAAAGTCTGGTCTCATTAGGAGACTGCAACAGGGAGCAGTGCACCGAGTATATGATTAAATACCTCAGTCAAGAGACACGCCAGCTCCTTTGAAGTGTTTGGATTGAATTCAGAAGGGAATCCACGCGATTTGTGGATTCACGGCCCCGTGATTGATGGCGCAGGCCGCTTGCGGCCGTGTGATTTGTCTTCCTGCCGACGTTCCTGCGAGGAAGGTGCTGGAGCGGAACCCCCACCAGAACCACCTCGGGTTTGTAGCTCTCCTGTTAGACATTTGCTTGAAGGACTGAGGGGGAAAAAAAGTTGGAACGATTCCCTTTTGTGAAAACCTCCCAGTCAGTCAGTCTCGGCCTTCCATCCTCCCCTTGGGTGGTTCTAGCTTCGGTGCAGTCTGTTAAGCGGCGCTTTTTAGATTTAATGAGGGGGTTTTGACGCAGGTTAAGGAGGGAGTACATAAAAAAAAAAAAAATTACCCTGAAGGTTTCTATCAAATTCCACGGGAGAAATGTTTGCTTGAGCAAAAGGCACGTTTGCCCAGGAACCGCCGGGCGCAGGGGGACTGCTGGCTCTCCTGCTGCGGGTCTCGAGTGAGGATCTCCAATTCCCAGCTGTTGGTCTTGTCGGAGGAAGAAAACTGCAGGAAAGTAATTAAAGGAAAGGAGGTTTTTATCCTGCATGCTCTAGATGCACCAGGGCAGGCACCACAGAAATGGATGAGATGATCCGAGCCGTCTGGCCGCCGAGGCCCCGATTCCCCACCTAGGGATAACGTCGCACGAGCCGTTTCAGCACCGGCATCCCCAGGTGCCTCTGGATCCGGGGACGTTGGCTCTCGCCAGGGTCTCTCTCGGCTGTTCCCGCTCGGGGCACGTGGAACAAGAGCCAGCCGGGAGCTCGGCCCCAGCGTTATTCCCAGCTCTCCTGCTCGTCGCCATGGGCCGAGCGCTGCGCAGGATCAGCAGGTGGGAAACGCGGAGCGACGCATCGTGCGGTCCCGTCTCACGTGTCCCGAGCTCCGTGCAAACGCGCTGCCGAACGACGCATGCTCCTGCCACAGCTGCATTTATTTAAGTGTTGCTAGGGAGGGAGAAGCAAGGCCAAAAGCAGCTGTGCCCATTTCCACTCTGCCTCAAGCTCTGGAAGCTGCGTCGCGAGGAACTCGGCCTGCACAAACCGCCCTGCATCACGGGCATCTCCCAAACAAAAGCAACAGCAAACGCACAAGGCACCAACCCGACC